TTGTTTAAATGTGTGGAGACATGTTGGTCCGAGTGTGTTTGTGCGTCCCATGGTAACAGGAAGCTGGGATGGGTTGTGTAAAGGTTTATAAGGTAGTAGGGGTTATCTGCAAAAAGCCTGAAAAGCATTCACATGTATGAGCATTAGAGAACGAACAGCTCTTAAACGGGGATCTAATATTCAAGTACGAGCTCCAACTGACGTCCAAAGTGAAAGAAAGCATCAAAAAGGCGTTTTATGCTTTGTTCCCTGTAGTTTGTTATCTACAGGTTTAGTGCACGTAAATGGTGTTCCCTCCAGAGTCTCTCACACACACGAAGTTCACATCAAAATCAGATTTATTCTTAAATGAGACTGAACCAAATCTTTATTTGTATTTTACACTGCTTACGGACAGGACTTTATTCCACTGACGTATCTAAGATTCATTTTTTGACAGTGAGACTTTGGACCAGCATCCCCAATACCATGACCATCCCCAATACCATGACCATCCCCAATACCATGACCATCCCCAATACCATGACCATCCCCAATACCATGACCATCCCCAATACCATGACCATCCCCAATACCATGATCATCCCCCCCGAAACAAAACTCATTCAGCATTCAGCTATTCATATCTTTCTATTTGCATCTGTGCTTCCCCGTCTGTGACTCTGACCCTCCAATCAGTCAGACATATCTCCGTTTTAGACATGAATGAACCCCGGACCCCTCCTCTCAGGGTCACTCTCCAAGTTGATCTCTCCTAGGGGGGGCCGCAACATTTTAACTTTATAAACGGAGTGAGACCGCTCCCTATATTCAGATTACTAATGACGAAGACATTTCATTCATGGAGAATGGCAGCTTCCTCATTTCTCCCTGAACAGATTGTGTTTGGGAGTTTGAAGACTCCCAAACACAATCTGTTCAGGTTTCTTTATTTCTTTAATATAAATACGCACTTTATTAAAGCACTACTGTTTTGAATCTGTTCTGATTCATCGTGATTTGTTGCAGAGCTGCAGAGATATCCACGCCTTCAATCTGCAGACTTACCAAGACCATAGATCCATCCTAAACAAATCAAACCATGATCTTTTGTACATATTTTCCAAAACAAATGTATCAGTCAAAAAGAATCACAGTTAGATAGATTGAGAGATCGATCATTTCTTTATCAGAAGTTAGGAAATGATGTGTATTTAGTTGTGCAGCCCTAATGTAAAATGTACTATCTAAAAAGGTACATTTAATGTCACTGCATGGGTATATAATAAAGTATTTATCTAAAATGGAAGACTGGGGTACAAATAATGACTTGACTTGTTCGACTCTTTCCAGTCGGATGCATCTGCCCTAAGAAAAGTCATCAGTTTGTCACGTCCGACACTTACGACTTACGATAATACTTTAATGGTCAGATCAAGTCTGAAATGCTCCTTGCATCATAGCAGCTCCATGTGTAACATCAACAGACAAACATCAAGACACAAGCTGCTCAAAGAGCCTTCAGCGTGCATCTGATCTGCAGCTCTGTGTTCACTGAGAGGGTCGACTGGAGCTCAAAGGATGCTTCAGGATGACTTTATTGAATCGAGGAACCCTGTATCTCACATTAGCAGAGAGGACAAAAGTACACACATCCTTTCCTCAAGTAGAAGTACAGATACTCGTGTTTAAAAATACTCTGGTGAAAGTAGAAGTACTGACTAAACTTCTTTACTCAAGTCAAAGTAAAGAGGGCTTTGAAATGTACTTCAGTAAAAAGTACCCATAACTAGCAGCTGTTTTAAAGAGTACCTGACCTCCCTTTATATTAATAGAACAATAATGTCATTGTTAGCTAATGAATGTTTCCATGCTGAACAACGGCAACATGACAACGTTTTCATTGGTCCCTCTTCTTTAGAGAAGACCAGGAAATGATGGATACACGGATCGTGTTCAAATCAATAGGCACGCAATGACTCTAAATAATAATGATCACGCCACCAAACACACATTCAAACTAAAGGAACCAGCCTGTTTGGAAAATGTGAGAAGTAGAAAGTACAGGTATTTGGGTTCAACATGTAAGAAGTAGAAAGTACAGGTATTTGTATTCAACATGTAAGAAGTAGAAAGTACAGGTATTTGTGTTCAACATGTAAGAAGTAGAAAGTACAGGTATTTGTATTCAAAATGCAAGAAGTAGAAAGTTCAGGTATTTGTGTTCAACATGTAAGAAGTAGAAAGTACAGGTATTTGTGTTCAACATGTAAGAAGTAGAAAGTACAGGTATTTGTATTCAACATGTAAGAAGTAGAAAGTACAGGTATTTGTATTCAACATGTAAGAAGTAGAAAGTACAGGTATTTGGGTTCAACATGTAAGAAGTAGAAAGTACAGGTATTTGTGTTCAACATGTAAGAAGTAGAAAGTACAGGTATTTGTATTCAACATGTAAGAAGTAGAAAGTACAGGTATTTGTGTTCAACATGTAAGAAGTAGAAAGTTCAGGTATTTGTGTTCAACATGTAAGAAGTAGAAAGTACAGGTATTAGGGTTCAACATGTAAGAAGTAGAAAGTACAGGTATTTGTGTTCAAAATGTAAGAAGTAGAAAGTACAGGTATTTGGGTTCAACATGTAAGAAGTAGAAAGTACAGGTATTTGGGTTCAACATGTAAGAAGTAGAAAGTTCAGGTATTTGTGTTCAACATGTAAGAAGTTGAAAGTACAGGTATTTGTATTCAACATGTAAGAAGTAGAAAGTACAGGTATTTGTGTTCAACATGTAAGAAGTAGAAAGTACAGGTATTTGTGTTCAACATGTAAGAAGTAGAAAGTACAGGTATTTGTATTCAACATGTAAGAAGTAGAAAGTACAGGTATTTGTGTTCAACATGTAAGAAGTAGAAAGTACAGGTATTTGTGTTCAACATGTAAGAAGTAGAAAGTACAGGTATTTGTGTTCAACATGTAAGAAGTAGAAAGTACAGGTATTTGTGATTCAACATGTAAGAAGTAGAAAGTACAGGTATTTGTGTTCTACATGTTGAAGTAGAAAGTACAGGTATTTGTGTTCAACATGTAAGAAGTAGAAAGTACAGGTATTTGTGTTCAACATGTAAGAAGTAGAAAGTACAGGTATTTGTGTTCAACATGTAAGAAGTAGAAAGTACAGGTATTTGTGTTCAAAATGTAAGAAGTAGAAAGTACAGGTATTTGGGTTCAACATGTAAGAAGTAGAAAGTTTCAGGTATTTGTGTTCAACATGTAAGAAGTAGAAAGTACAGGTATTAGGGTTCAACATGTAAGAAGTAGAAAGTACAGGTATTTGTGTTCAACATGTAAGAAGTAGAAAGTACAGGTATTTGGGTTCAACATGTAAGAAGTAGAAAGTACAGGTATTTGTGTTCAACATGTAAGAAGTAGAAAGGTTCAGGTATTTGTGTTCAAATGTAAGAAGTAGAAAGTACAGGTATTAGGGTTCAACATGTAAGAAGTAGAAAGTACAGGTATTTGTGTTCAACATGTAAGAAGTAGAAAGTACAGGTATTTGGGTTCAACATGTAAGAAGTAGAAAGTACAGGTATTTGTGTTCAACATGTAAGAAGTAGAAAGTTCAGGTATTTGTGTTCAACATGTAAGAAGTAGAAAGTACAGGTATTGTGTTCAAATGTAAGAAGTAGAAAGTACAGGTATTTGTGTTCAAACATGTAAGAGTAGAAAGTTCAGGTATTTGTGTTCAAAATGTACAAGTAGAAAGTACAGGTATTTGTGTTCAAAATGTAAGAAGTAGAAAGTACAGGTATTAGGGTTCAACATGTAAGAAGTAGAAAGTTCAGGTATTAGGGTTCAACATGTAAGAAGTAGAAAGTTCAGGTATTTGTGTTCAACATGTAAGAAGTAGAAAGTACAGGTATTTGTGTTCAAAATGTAAGAAGTAGAAAGTACAGGTATTAGGGTTCAACATGTAAGAAGTAGAAAGTTCAGGTATTTGTGTTCAACATGTAAGAAGTAGAAAGTACAGGTATTAGGGTTCAACATGTAAGAAGTAGAAAGTTCAGGTATTTGTGTTCAACATGTAAGAAGTAGAAAGTACAGGTATTAGGGTTCAACATGTAAGAAGTAGAAAGTACAGGTATTAGGGTTCAACATGTAAGAAGTAGAAAGTTCAGGTATTTGTGTTCAACATGTAAGAAGTAGAAAGTACAGGTATTAGGGTTCAACATGTAAGAAGTAGAAAGTTCAGGTATTTGTGTTCAACATGTAAGAAGTAGAAAGTACAGGTATTAGGGTTCAACATGTAAGAAGTAGAAAGTACAGGTATTTGTGTTCAACATGTAAGAAGTAGAAAGTACAGGTATTAGGGTTCAACATGTAAGAAGTAGAAAGTTCAGGTATTTGTGTTCAACATGTAAGAAGTAGAAAGTACAGGTATTAGGGTTCAACATGTAAGAAGTAGAAAGTTCAGGTATTTGTGTTCAACATGTAAGAAGTAGAAAGTACAGGTATTAGGGTTCAACATGTAAGAAGTAGAAAGTTCAGGTATTTGTGTTCAACATGTAAGAAGTAGAAAGTACAGGTATTAGGGTTCAACATGTAAGAAGTAGAAAGTACAGGTATTAGGGTTCAACATGTAAGAAGTAGAAAGTACAGGTATTTGTGTTCAACATGTAAGAAGTAGAAAGTACAGGTATTAGGGTTCAACATGTAAGAAGTAGAAAGTTCAGGTATTTGTGTTCAACATGTAAGAAGTAGAAAGTACAGGTATTTGTGTTCAACATGTAAGAAGTAGAAAGTAAAAAGTCGTCAGAAAAATAAGAAGTGGAGTAAAGTACTGATACCAGAAGAATGTACTTAAGTACAGTAACAAAGTATTTGTTTTCCACTACTTCCCACCTCTGCTGATTAGATGGCAGCAGTTCATACTCGCTGTTCAGAACCTGGTTTGGGTCAGAGATGATGTTGTTAGACAGCCTTCTGTTGTTGTTGACGCTCCTCTGTGCTTGTGTGTGTCTCCAGGGTTGGTTCAGCCCCGGGCAGGTGTTCGTTCTGGATGAGTACTGCGCCCGGTACGGGGTCCGGGGCTGCCACCGCCACCTGAGCTACCTGAAGGACCTGATGGAGTACTCTGAGAGCCAGGTGCTGGTGGACCCCACGCTGCTGCACTACAGCTACGCCTTCTGCGCCTCGCACGTCCACGGGAACAGGTACGGAGGCTAACGCGGGTTAAACGTCACCTATTGTGCAAAATCCTCTTCTTCATGTCTCTTCTACATCAACATGTGTCCCCTCTTCTTCATGTCTCTTCTACATCAACATGTGTCCCCTCTTCTTCATGTCTCTTCTTCATCAACATGTGTCCCCTCTTCTTCATGTCTCTTCTACATCAACATGTGTCCCCTCTTCTTCATGTCTCTTCTACATCAACATGTGTCCCCTCTTCTTCATGTCTCTTCTACATCAACATGTGTCCCCTCTTCTTCATGTCTCTTCTACATCAACATGTGTCCCCTCTTCTTCATGTCTCTTCTTCATCAACATGTGTCCCCTCTTCTTCATGTCTCTTCTTCATCAACATGTGTCCCCTCTTCTTCATGTCTCTTCTACATCAACATGTGTCCCCTCTTCTTCATGTCTCTTCTTCATCAACATGTGTCCCCTCTTCTTCATGTCTCTTCTTCATCAACATGTGTCCCCTCTTCTTCATGTCTCTTCTACATCAACATGTGTCCCCTCTTCTTCATGTCTCTTCTTCATCAACATGTGTCCCCTCTTCTTCATGTCTCTTCTACATCAACATGTGTCCCCTCTTCTTCATGTCTCTTCTACATCAACATGTGTCCCCTCTTCTTCATGTCTCTTCTACATCAACATGTGTCCCCTCTTCTTCATGTCTCTTCTACATCAACATGTGTCCCCTCTTCTTCATGTCTCTTCTTCATCAACATGTGTCCCCTCTTCTTCATGTCTCTTCTTCATCAACATGTGTCCCCTCTTCTTTATGTCTCTTCTTCATCAACATGTGTCCCCTCTTCTTCATGTCTCTTCTTCATCAGCATGTGTCCCCTCTGTGTAAAGAGACTCTGAAAGTTTCAGGAACAAAGATTCTCTCTCTTTTTGTCCTGATCCATTTTTATAAAAACCTGTCTGAAAATGAGCTGATCAGATTTTGGACACTTTATGATGTCATAACGATGTTTTGGCTTGTGTAACCATTAGCCAATCAGCAACCAAGGTAACCCTCCCCCCCCACGTTATCAGAGGGGCGTGGGGAGTGGCTCCTTATTTTCATCTAAAGTAACAGACAGAGAATCAGCACTTTGGAAACAGGGCTGAAACAGAGGGGATTATGGGTAATGCTGCAATGATCTGTTTGGTGTTTCAGCCAATCAGAGACAGGCTCTGTATATATCTGAGACCTGTAATATATTGATGAAAAACAGTATAACAGGGGACCTTTAAGTTGGTGGGAAGTGATGACTGTTAGGGTTGAGATGCAAAGTTGTCTCATTTTGTCCAAGTGGGTGTGGGGGGGTGGGGGGGCTCAGCTCTGGTCATCTTTATGCCTCCTCTCGCTGTAGTCTCCCTACGATATGAGCATCAGCGGCGTCTTTTAGCCACTTGTTGGCACCAGCGTCCTGCAGCAGTTCACTTCTCCCCCGCTGATAATTACTGATATCTGTGCTTTCTCTCTTTGTCCACTCATTGCTCAATTAGACAGAGTAATGATCGGCTTCTCCAGCGAAATCGGCAGATATAAATTAGGGGTTGGGGGAGGAGGGGAGGAGGGGTATTTGCAATTGGCTTTTTGTCAGTTGGAGCTGTAATTTGAATAATTGATGGCCATTCAGGAGCCGCTGAGTGGGTGTGGATGGGAAAAAGGAGGGTTTTTGATGGCAGGCGGTTCTCCGAGGTGGGAAAAAAAAAAAAAACGTAATTACAGAACTCGAGTTTTCCCTGGAGGGCCGCTCGGAGAAACCCAACTCCGTCAGGACAAAGAGCGACGCCTCAGAAGATCAGCAGGAGAGTCCTCCACCATACTTCAACTGAGTTTGTTCAGACTGTGCTTTTCTGTAGGAAACTCTCACAGAAACATCAATATTTTCATTGGAAAGTCCACGTGAGGTCATAGAAAAGAGAAAGGAGAGACTTGGAGCCCTTTGTGAACCAAGATGTGTCGAGTTATTTGGTCATTTTTCATTAATACCAGATATATGAGTGGTGAAAGAACAGTAACATTTCTAAAGTCAATCGTAATAACCCAAATAAAAGTGTGACCAAGAAGCGATTAAATCACATTGTTTAATCGAATCTAAGATACGAGTGCTCCTAACGATTGTTTTCAATTAGTATTTTCGAGATGAATTGATTAATCGCTCCATAAAATGTCATCCCAATGCAAGGTGGTGCGTTTAAATGTCTTATTGTGTCACTTAAAACCCAAAGATCTTCACTTTACTGTGATAGACAATTCAGAAAACTATAAATGTCCATATTCAAAAGAGCATTATTTTTACCATATACTGTAAGATAATATAAGATGTACTTTATTGATCCCAAGTTGGGACATTTTTGTGTTGCAGCAGCATAAAAAGACTTGACACAAAACAAATTAAAAGACTAGTAATAAACATTTCAAAATTTCAACATCTCAATAGCAATAAAATAGCATTAAAAAAAGTCCTTTCCAGCTGAAAAGAGTGCTTAATGATGTGTGTGTGTGTGTGTGTGTGTGTGTGTGTGTGTGTGTGTGTGTGTGTGTGTGTGTGTGTGTGTGTGTGTGTGTGTGTGGTGTGTGTGTGTGTGTGTGTGTGTGTGTGTGTGTGTGTGTGTGTGTGTGTGTGTGTGTGTGTGTGTGTGTGTGTGTGTGTGTGTGTGTGTGTGTGTGTGTGTGTGTGTGTGTGTGTGTGTGTGTGTGTGTGTGTGTGTGTGTTGGTGCTGTGTGTGTGTGTGTGTGTGTGTGTGCGTGCTCTGATAATGGCAGCTGTAATGAGTTAGATTGTGTGAGAGTTTATTTGGACACTTGGAGTCCTGCTGGTTCTTCATCATCATCATCGCTCCGTGCTGCTGGAGGTGACGGAGTGATTAAAGCTCGGCAGGTGAAGCCGCGCTGACACTTGGTGTGTGTGTGTGTGTGTGTGTGTGTGTGTGTGTGTGTGTGTGTGTGTGTGTGTGTGTGTGTGTGTGTGTTGTGTGTTGTGTGTGTGTGTAGTGTGTGTGTGTTTGTGGTTGTGTGTGTGCTGTTGGTTGTGTGTGTGTGTGTGTGTGTGTAGTGTGTGTGGTGTGTGTGTGTGTGTGTGTGTGTGTGTAGTGTGTGGTGTGTGTGTGTGTGTGTGTGTGTGTGTGTGTGTGTGTGTGTGTGATGAGACGTTTGAACTGGAGTCGGGGTTAAAGGAGCATTACCAGAGCTGGTTGAGGAGGGGGTTCGCTCGCCTCCTTCTCACCTGTCACGTCCCATCAGCTCCTCACCGAACATCCACAGCACACACACTCGGGACGTGACAGGAGCTTTTACCTCCCCAACACACACACGCGCACACACACACACACACACACACACACACAGGCCATGGAGGGAGGTGCCACACTGTTTGCATCTCACATATGTATCCATCATCACCATCTCTTTATTTCACTGCACAGTATTTAGTTTGACTTTCTTTGAGCTTGTTTCACTTCCTCTGCATCACTTTCACATCAGTCTCTTTTATTTCTACTCTGTTTCTTCTTCTTATATATTCATGTTGCTTTGTTGGAGGAGCCTGGGACTTGATGACAATAATAAGCCTCTGAACTTTGAACATGGGATGGCTGTGTTTACAGAAAACCAAATGTATCGCTCAACGATTTTACATCGAGAAAGAAATGTGTCTCATTTACCTCTTGCGAAAACGTGCAAGATATTTGGATGACGTCGTGTCGTGAAAATCAGAGTTAAGATTCTCCTTCAAAGTCACTGCTGGCTTTGACGTTCTTAATGAGAACAAATGATGACAAACTGAAATGATGCCACAGTCAAACTTTTGCAAGGTGAGAGAAAAATACCTATTTTTATATTTATTTGTATCTGTCTTTCACTAATTCACAAAAACATAGACTTAATGTCAGCGGGAATATCTGCAAGTTAGTTCAGAGGGTTTCTAAATGATGAAGCAGAACAGTACGGTGGCCAACAGGTGGAGAAACACGCTGCAGAAACCATGCAGATATAAACGTTCCAAAACACATGGAGAAACATCTTCAGCAACAGATCTTAACAATGTGATCACATGACTCCTTCTGATGCAGATCTGCTGTAAGCTAGCTAGCTAATGTAGCTAACCTAGTTAGATATACTGACAAACACTTACAGTTATGAAACAGACTTGGTCCACGACAGTTAGCCGACCAACGCAGATCAACAAAGTTCATTTATTTTATTGAGCATTTTTCAACTCGTGCCATAACTGCTAATCTGTTTACATGACAACGCTATGTTAAACCAAAAGGCAAACTATGAACGTTACTTCCAGTTCATTTACCAAGTGAAGCTCCATACTGAGCTGTGTTGGGTTTCTTTAACTATTTTTCAACGTGTTTGACTGGTGATGAGTTCTCCTTCACATCTTCTCCAACGTTTTCCAAACTGAGGTCCAGAGACGACATTGAACCTGATTCTTCTGACACTTCGCCCGCCCCCGCCCGCCCTCAGCCTGATCTCCTCTCCAACACCTCTTAAGGTGAAGTGGCGTCCGGAGCCTGGGCGCTCTCCTCTCACCACGACTCTGTCATCAGAGAGCACCGCAGGGGGGGGTCTGGAGCTCATCGTTTACACTGGAGCCACATCGAGTGTAAACACACATCCTGAGTCCCCCCCCCTCGCTGCTCCGCGCTCGCTTCATTTAGCAGCAACAATGTGTCTGAACCCCGACAAGCTGTCGCATCGCCCACTCCTCCGCGTGCGCCCGAGCGCGAACACACATCTGACTGCTCCACCAAACCAAACCAAACTCCGCTTTGCGTCTGGACTCCTGCCAGACCGCTCCTCGTACGATTTGATTTGTGAGCGTGATTCGATTCAGGGGAAGTGGAGGGTGTGAGGGAGGAAGATCAGAATCAGGATTAAAGCCAAGTGTTTACACATACAAGGGATTTGATTTGGAGTACAATGGTGCGTATGTAAACACGGGAAGAGGTTGTAAAGAAGAATTATTATATAAACCTATTA